TAGACCTACTTCGTTCTTCTATGAAATTATAAAATACATTTTGTGTTACGCGTTGGTAAAGCATAATTTTATTAAATCGAAAAATCCCCAGCTTCAATTCCGGGACAGATGAGTTTCATTTGCTAGGAACAAGAACCCAGGGCGGAACTACAGTGCCGCTAGACCCCACAATGCGGAGGGGGGGGGGGGGTCAAGGGGCAGTTTAGGGGCCCACAGCCGACCGACCTTAATTTATAAATATGGTAGAGGTGTAGCGAGGAGGGTGTAAATCGAAAGTTTGAGCGGGGGGGGGGGGGGGGAATCGAAAGTTAGAGGGGGGGGGGGCGCAAATCGAATATTTGTCCCCGGTCACCGGGAAGGGTCGATACGCCTCTGATATATGGGGGCCGAAAATAATTTTTTGCGGGGTGTCCCTATTTTTCTAGTTCCGCCACTGCAAGAACCCATATTGGAGGGAAAAATTCTAATTCAAACATGAGTGGAGCTATTTGGTGGTAGGATTACCAACTCTGGTTTCCTTTCGGCAGCTCTTGTGACACTGCTGATTCAAGTTGTACAGGTAAAGGCCTGCCCCTTGGGTTCATCAGCTGTGTGGATAGAGGGGTTCTGGTACACGTAGACTATTTAGATCTTCACAACTTTCTGTTCAAGTCCTTCATTTCCAAGTCACATTCGTCTATTAGCCATTTCTTTATTTATTGTAATGTATACTGATGCATATATTAAAAACGTATTACCCATTACAGGAATAGCATTGCAGTAGATTGCTGGACTGCTAACCCGTAAGTCGCGAGCTAGAATCCGGGTTCAGTAGACCGTCCCTGAGTCCCCCAACTATGATGGGTACCTAACTCACGTTAGGGAGAGTAAAGGCGGCTGAGAATAGTACTGACCACACTATCCTTTCATATGCCGAGGTTACAGAAACAAGTGATCTCTACTTCACTTGCCCCGTAGACCGTCAGGTTTGAAAGGGAACTTTACTTACCCATTATTTTAAATTTTTCTTGTCGCTAGTATCGTTTCTCTAACTCTGACCCTAACCTTAAAATATAAACCCTCCCCATGAATTGGTCACCCTAACATTCGACCCTAAACCTAAATGTAACCATCTTCCCTACCCTAATATATGAACATAAAATAATACCTCAAATATATATAAGCTTAGATAAAATTATATTTAAATTTGCGCGCGTATATTTAAAAGAACCAAGATCGATAGCATATATTTGAAAAGTTATAATCGATTTCGATAGCAAAATCTACACATAAGCATAGTTATGGCTGGACATAAAGAATTAGTAGTCGTAGGCTAATTTTTTCAATCTTTAATTTAATATGTATTAATTTTAATGTAAGATAGTAATTACCTGATGATAAATATAGAATAATGTTCTCAAGCAGATACGAGTAGTATTTTGTTATTCCTTAATTAATTTAAACAGTAGATATAATGCATGCAAAGTTGTTAAAGAAAAAAAAACAAGTGTAGATAAAGGTGTTTCTTGAATAGATCTACTATAATACTTCCTCTTCAGAAAATAAATTGACTATTTCCGTTTACAATTCGCACTTTGAAAACGAAAGAAAACAATGATTTAGTAGTGCGTAACAATGTAGATCTTGATACAGAATAATGAAAATTATTATCAGACACTGTCTGGGTGGTATTGGATAAATATGACTGTCTCTGGATTAGTCTGGCTTTAAATTGTAATTTCTTTTAAACAGATACATTAATAAGCCAATGCGTGTCTAGTTAATTAAGTCCTGTATCGTCATGTCTGTCTATTACACTGATCAACAGAGTTTCTTCCAGACGTTTATATTCTCCTAGGGTAAGGGGCAGTAGCGTAGCGAGGGGGGGGGGACATATGTCCCCGGGCGCCGACCTTAGGGGGCGCCAAAATGGGTTGGAAAAATAAATTGAAAGGTTGAGGGGGGTGCAAATCGAAATCTTGAGGGGGGGGGTGCAAATCGAAAAGTTTGTCCCCGGGCGCCGGGAAGGGTCGCTACGCCTCTGGTAAGGGGCACTACGTTTTCGGGGTGGGGGGGGGGGGGGGGTAGGGCGCAGTTAAACTTTCAGGGAGAAAGGATGGATATTACTCGAAGTATATATTTTCTATTACAAATTATATACGTTTGACAATACGACACACGTGTCTTTTCATGTGTGACTGCCACGTTGATAAGCAAATACATCCGAATATCAGATCTGTAGTTAGGCCTGCTTGGATTAATTGGGCTGGCCACTTACAATAGCTGAGTTAATTCTATATAGGCCCTATGTAAGAATGCCTTTTTGATGTCAGACAAGAACAAATTCAGTAATGATAGTTGCCTGTTGTCAGGCTAGTAACTTTAAAATTTACAATATATAAGCCTATATATATATATATATATATATATATATATATATATATATATATATATATATATATATATATATATATATATATATATATTAAAACATTCAATCATGATCTATTACAAGAAATTTTAAGACCTTATTATAAATTATAGGCATTTGTATTTCTAGAAAAGTAAAAACCTCAATACCTCTAGCTTAGAAAGCAAGAATTTCAAGAACGTCGCACCATTAAGCGTGGCTTGTGAACACAGTAAAAAAAAAAACCTCGATGTTTAAATCGGAAGTGATTTGTCTCAAACATTTACAGTGTTATGTTTTGTTTTTAAAATATTGGTTAATTTGTAATAGATCTAGATCTATATTATAACACAATTAATTTTCTTTTATCAGGTGTGAGTGTACACATTTTCAGCCAATTTTTATTATTTTTTCAGGTAAATATTAGATAAAGATCTATGCTATACTTATATCTACTTCGCAACTACGAAATTGTATTGAATATATAATTCTAGATCTAGATTAGATCTGAGTCAGTAAGTGTTTTATTTCAGCAAAAAAAAAGGTAAACAGATTAGACAAAAACCGAAAATACTAAAACCATTAAATCTTATTAAATCTTTAGTAAAGTCCGACAAAATCCACACTTCCACAATTTTTATAGTTATTTTTCTAACACTAACATCGAACATGATTTTAAGGTCCTAGGACCTTTGACCACAGGTGCTTTGACCATAGGGGGTTTGACCATAGGGGGTTTGACCATAGGGGGTTTGACCACAGCGGAGCTTTGACCATAGGGGCTTTGACCATATGGGGTTTGACCACAGCGGGACTTTGACCATAGCGGTGCTTTGACCAAAGGGGGTTTGATCATAGGGGGTTTGACCATAGGGGGTTTGACCACAGGTGTTTTCTCAGCAGAGGGTCTTTGATCACAGGTGGTATATCAACTGGTGTTTAATATGTCTTTCGACACTTTCTGAGACTATTCGCGTGTGTGTCCATTGCAATGGTCAATTTTCTGTGTCTTTATTTGCCGAACGTATTTTTTCTACAAGCAAAACCTGCTATGATACCAATCCTGTATGTCTTTTAACCAACCGTATTGTGTCTTTTGACCTACCCTTATACCTATAAACCAACCCTTGTTTCTATTGACCAACCCTGTTGTTTCCATTTACCAACCCCTATTTGGCTATAGATCAACCTTGTAAATAGTGTTGTGTCTATTAACAATCATGCAGTATCTATTTACCAACACAAATGTGCCAATAAAAAAAATCATACAGTATATGTACCAACCCTGTAATGTCTATAACCAACCCTGTAAAGTCTATAACCAACCCTGTAAACTCTACACCCAACCCTGTAATGTCCAATGTCTATAACCAACCCTATATTGTCTATTACACAACCATGTAAAGTCTACACCCAACCCTGTAATGCCTATAACCAACCCTGTAATGTCTATAAACCAATCCTGTAATGCCTATAACCAACCCTGTAATGTTTATAACCAACCCTGTAATGTCTATAACCAACCATGTAATGTTTATAACCAACACTGTAATGCCTATAACCAACCCTGTAATGCCTATATCCAACCATGTAATGTCTATAGACTAACCTTGTATGGTCTATAACCAACCCTGTATTGTCTATAACCAACCCTGTTATGTATATTTACCAACCCTTTAATTTATATTAACCAGCCATGCAATGTCTATCAACCAACCCTGTAATTTATATTAACCAACCCTGTAATTTATATTAACAAACTCTCTAGTGTCTTGTCAGCGCCTATGTCCCAGGAGGGGCGACAGGCAATCCTAGCCAACCCTGTAGTGTCTATTAACCAACCCTATGGTGTCTATTTTCCAACCCTGTTTTTGTTGACAAACCATGTAGTGTCTACTAATATTGATAAGGCATTTATTGACAACTTCACTTCATAATATCTCAGTCATGTATGCTTTTAGGAACCGTCCATCTTTATTCGCTATAATTCATCCTGAAGACACAATTTTCATTGACAAACATATAGGCTTACCATATTTGTATCCAGAAGCGTAGCGAGGAGGGGGGCGGGGCGGGGGGTGCGGTGACACCATTTAGGGGGGTGACACCAAGGCAAAAAATAGCAAAATATATAGAGAAAAACTTGAGGGGGGGGTGCAAATCGAAAGTTCGAAGGGAGGGGGGTGCAAATCGAAAATTTGAGAGGGGTGCAAATCGAAAGTTTGAGGGGGGGGGTGCAAATCGAAAATTTGAAAGTTTGTCCCCGGGAAGAGTCGCTACGCCTCTGGGGAGTGACACCATTAAGTGCCGCACCGGGTGACACCCGACCTCGCTACGCCACTGTTTGTTTCGACTGACTATCATGGAGTCCAATACTTAATTATTTAGTCACTGGCTCGCTTTAATTAAACGAACAAAGAAAAATTCGGTCGCTAACTTTTCTTTAACCTTATAGTTTAGTCGCTGACTGTCATATTAACATATTCTCATTCATACAGCATATGTTGTATTAAATAAATATCTTGATAACGACAATGAAGCGATTACCAAAACATTGTTATTGTTTTGTTTGGTTTAGTTTGGCTAACAATATATTAAATATTTTATTTAATTGCAGCTATAACAATGGCTTTCAACTCCAGACTTCACTACATCTGTATGTTAACAATCCTAATCTGCCACTACGTAAAAGGTATGTATCTAGAACCTGTCTTAGTAATGTATCTAAAACATTTCTCGGTAATGTATGTATCTAAAACCTCTCTTAGTACTGTGTCTAAAACATGTCTTAGTAATGTATCTAAAACATTTCTCGGTAATGTATGTATCTAAAACCTCTCTTAGTACTGTGTCTAAAACCTGTCTTAGTAATGTATCTAAAACATTTCTCGGTAATGTATGTATCTAAAACCTCCCTTAGTACTGTGTCTAAAACATGTCTTAGTAATGTATCTAAAACATTTCTCGGTAATGTATGTATCTAAAACCTCTCTTAGTACTGTGTCTAAAACATGTCTTAGTAATGTATCTAAAACATTTCTCGGTAATGTATGTATCTAAAACCTCTCTTAGTACTGTGTCTAAAACATGTCTTAGTAATGTATCTAAAACATTTCTCGGTAATGTATGTATCTAAAACCTCTCTTAGTACTGTGTCTAAAACATGTCTTAGTAATGTATCTAAAACATTTCTCGGTAATGTATGTATCTAAAACCTCTCTTAGTACTGTGTCTAAAACATGTCTTAGTAATGTATCTAAAACATTTCTCGGTAATGTATGCATCTAAAACCTCTCTTAGTACTGTGTCTAAAACATGTCTTAGTAATGTATCTAAAACATGTCTCGGTAATGTATGCATCTAAAACCTCTCTTAGTACTGTGTCTAAAACATGTCTTAGTAATGTATCTAAAACATTTCTCGGTAATGTATGCATCTAAAACCTCTCTTAGTACTGTGTCTAAAACATGTCTTAGTAATGTATCTAAAACATTTCTCGGTAATGTATGCATCTAAAACCTCTCTTAGTACTGTGTCTAAAACATGTCTTAGTAATGTATCTAAAACATTTCTCGGTAATGTATGTATCTAAAACCTCTCTTAGTACTGTGTCTAAAACATGTCTTAGTAATGTATCTAAAACATTTCTTGGTAATGTATGTATCTAAAACCTCTCTTAGTACTGTGTCTAAAACATGTCTTAGTAATGTATCTGAAACATTTCTCGGTAATGTATGTATCTAAAACCTCTCTTAGTACTGTGTCTAAAACATGTCTTAGTAATGTATCTAAAACATTTCTCGGTAATGTATGTATCTAAAACCTCTCTTAGTACTGTGTCTAAAACATGTCTTAGTACTGTATCTAAAACATTTCTCGGTAATGTATGTATCTAAAACCTCTCTTAGTACTGTGTCTAAAACATGTCTTAGTACTGTATCTAAAACATTTCTCGGTAATGTATGTATCTAAAACCTCTCTTAGTACTGTGTCTAAAACATGTCTTAGTAATGTATCTAAAACATTTCTCGGTAATGTATGTATCTAAAACCTCTCTTAGTACTGTGTCTAAAACATGTCTTAGTACTGTATGTATCTAAAACATTTCTCGGTAATGTATGTATCTAAAACCTGTCTTAGTACTGTATGTATCTAACAGCTGTCTATGTACTCGATCTTCAACATATCTTGGTTCTGTATTTTAAACATGTCATTGTTCTGTATCTATCAATTGTACCCCTATATGAAACCAAACTGAGCAATCCCCCCCCCCCCTCACCACTCGGATCAAATACATACGATACAGATTTACGTTTCAATTATATATTTTTAAACAGTGTACCGAACCTAAGCTTTAAATCCCCACCCCGGTAAAAAAAAATGACTAAAAGAAACTCTGGAATTATGTCTTTTCCTTGCAGGAAATTACCTTCCCACTGGTCAGGTGTTCCTGCTAGCGTTCCCCCGGACAACAATGGACACAGTTCAGTACCACTTCTTCGTCTACACCATGTCCAAGAAACAGATCTCGGTGGGTCATTTTCGTAGGGGACTCAAGAGTATTTATTGTAGGGATGGGGAGACTTGCAGCTTTATATATATATATATATATATATATATATATATATATATATATATATATATATATATATATATATATATATATATATATATATATATATATATATGTATATATATATATATATATATATATATATATATATATATATGTGTATGTGTACTATACATATTATATATACATAATATAATAAATATATACATATATGTATATATATACTATGTATATTATAAATATAAATATATGTACTATACATACTAAATATATAAATAAATATATAAGCAATATATATATATTACGGCCCAAGCCCCAAGTGCAGCCAAAGCACGCATTGGCCGAATCTTTTGGCCAAAGCCCGAAGAGCTTTTTACTGACGGCGTATTTCGTACATTGTCTGGCCAATCCGCGCACTGGCCGGGATGTCCAGGATAATGACCTATATGTAGTTTAAGTTGTGATCGTATTTTCATTATTCTGGCTGCGGTTTGATTGTGAGTAACGTATTGTTTGGTTCTTGTTTGTACAGCATTATATATGCAATGCGACATAGACCAAAAGGTTCGTCAGCCCATGATACAGACATACCAGAAGGCTTTTAAAGAAAAAAAAAATCCAATCCCTTGTTAGTTTCCATATATGGACTACCACTGTATGTGATAGTCTCCTCTATGGTGACGAGGTGATTTATTTAAACAACCAGTTATTTATTTTTCAATTCCAGGTTCACCTGTCCACAAAGAACTTTGACCCCAACAACGAACTGGACTACACGATGACCGTGTCACGTGACAACCCTGGCTCCTACGTCGCCGACCACCGATACAGGTAAAGTGTTTTAGTTATGGGGCTTGTAAGTCTCGGTTTCTCTCGAATAAAATTCAAAATCTCGTCACCCAGAGAAAGATTTAAATTTTCGAACAAAATTAATTTTTACCATGATTCACATTTACGATTTTGCCTAACTTAACTATAGCAGTGTAACTTTTCTATTATTTTTTTTTTTACCGATTGAATAAAAAAATAATTGTTTAAGATATACTAGCAGGCAAGTACAAGAATAAGAAAACGGTGACCTAATTACAAGCCCTACTCTGGTTGGGGACAGAATTGTTCAGCGGTAGAACAGACATACAAATTCACTAGCTCGGGGACCTTGTTCAAGATCTCAGGTCGATTAAACTAACTGTCCCACTACATCCAAACCAAGTATTTCAATTTTGCTGAATAAGCAATATAACCATACATTTAGACCAAACTTAATGTGAATATTTTTTTTAAATCGATACAAAAAATAGAACCGTTACTTTTATTTAAAATCTTAAATAAGGATGTAAATACAAGATGTAGGCTTATTAGAGAATAGAACTCAAAACTTCCGGATAGAGAGGCGAGGGCGGAGAATGGTTCAAGTTTTTCTTTATATATTAATATTCTATTTCGAGCAGAGTGGAGGAGGTGGACTTGCTCTTTCTAATACCCCGAAACCCTCCTGTTGGTCGAGCGGCGACGCATTCAGTTACACGTCAAAAGTCTTGATCTCAGATCCTTGTTCCGTGTGGTTGTATAGAGCCTAATTACTAAATTAAGGGTGAAGTCTGTGTTTGAGCCCACTCAGTTATAAAACGTACCTTGCATTAATTGGTAATGTGAATAAAAATTACTTGTATAACAGAACTGTGCACCAAATCGATCGCCCAGTTTACAAGAAAACAAGTAAACTCTACTTCATCTGCTGTCTCAACAATACTTCCCCAGTTAATACTGACATAAACTTGTCGTGAAGGTTGAAACTAGCATGAAACATGGCCATAACTTGATTTTTTTCAAGCACCGGCATAGCATTCGAGATAAAGCTATATCTCTCTGCTGTGCAGCATTCTATATGAAGCTACATCTCTCCGCCTTACTCAATTTAATTGAGCCCATGTTTCACCGCAGACCTTGTTGTCTCCCTTTCAAAACTCCTCGAATATTCCCTAACCATTTAATGAACACATCTCACTCTCCCCCCCCCCCCTAGACCGCAGGTTCAGGTAGGTGTGACCTATGTCTTCCAACTGACCAGTACTGAAGACTTCTCGACCACTGCGTTAGTCCGGGCCAGCCCAAGCCAGATGGAGGCCCTACAGGCCGTGCCAGTAGAAGCTTGGGGCAAGAAGTATATGGCCATCAGCTTCGAGTAAGTAGTGTGTGGTGTTGTTTTGTGTGTGTTGCTGTTTTGTGTGTGTTGTTGTTTTGTGTGTGTTGTTGTTTTGTGTGTGTTGTTGTTTTGTGTGTGTTAAACTGGGTAACACGCACGCCCACACAAGCACACAAATATATATATATATATATATATATATATATATATATATATATATATATATATATATATATATATATATATATATATATATACATATATGTATACACATATTGATATACATATACACACACACACACACATATATATATATATATATATATATATATATATATATATATATATATATATATATATATATATATATATATATATATATATATATATATATATATATATATATATATATATATATAGATAGATAGATAGATAGATAGATAGATAGATAGATAGATAGATAGATAGATAGATAGATAGATAGATATATTTTATATTTATATATATATATATATAAATAAATATATATATATATATATATATATATATGTGTGTGTGTGTGTGTGTGTGTGTGTGTGTGTTTGTGTGTTATGCATATATGTGTCTGTGTGTGTGTGTGTTTGTGTGTAAAGCATATGTGTGTGCGTGTGTGTGTCTGTGTGTGTGTGTCTGTGTGTAAAGCATATGTGTGTGCGTGTGTGTGTCTGTGTGTGTGTGTCTGTGTGTAAAGCATATATGTGTGTGTGCGTGTCTGTGTTTCTGTGTGTGCGCGTGTGTGTGTATGTGTTTGTGTGTGTGTGTGTGTGTGTCTGTGTGTAAAGCATATATGTGTGTGCGCGTGTGTGTGTCTGTGTGTGTGTGTGTGTTTGTGTGTGTGTGTGTGTGTGTGTGAAGCATATCTGACGACCACCATTTAGTAAGACTCCAAAATAAACCACTTAAGATTCTACAGTTCGATCATCATTCATTCGTTCATTTATTCAATTATGCACGCATGCGTTTATGTATGCATGCATTCATTCATTCTTTCGTTCATTCGTTTATTATTATTATGTTTGATCATCCGTTAGGTAATTACGCCGTTCATTCGTTTCTTAATTCATTCTCTCTGTCATCCATTCGTTTATACGTGTATTCGTTTTTTCTTCTCTTTATTAAATTGATATATTTTGTGCTTATCGATGGTATTGTCTACATTAATGCGATACATGTCAATGTGTTTGTAGGTGTGGTGTCTAAGCGAGGTGTCTGTGTGTGTGTTTGTACCTGAACGTGTGTCTGAGTCTGGTTTTGTTTCTATGGGATTGTATCTATGCATGATCTTGTTTGTGCTTTAGATTTCTAATTTTAAAAAAACATATCTACTCACCCACAGCTATACGCCTACTCTGAACATCATCACCCAGGAGGGCCCAAACGAAATCACCATCGAGTTTAAGATCAGTCTCCCCAGGACGTTCCATTTTACAGCGGACGGCCACAATTACAACGCCAACGATAACGTGTTCAGCTTCACTCTTCAAGCGTAAGTTGTATCGGCAGTGTCAAACAAGTTCAAATACTTTTAAATAAAGCCCGTTCACCTATAAGCGTTAAAATATATTAGTATTATAGCCTGTTAAAAATACATTAAAATATACCCGTTCGTCTATAAGCGTTAAAGTATATTAGAATATAGCTTATTCAGGCGTAAGTGTCAGTGGCGTAGGCGGGGGGGTTGGTTAGGGGGGGTCATAACCCCCCCCCCCCATAGACCCCTCGGTTTATATATAAAATATGAGGCGGGGGTGCAAATCGAAAGTTTGAGGGGGGGGGGTGCAAATCGAAAGTTTGAGGGGGTGCAAATCGAAAGTTTGAGGGGAGGGGTGCTAATCGAAAGATTGTCCCCGGTAAAAATTGGAACCCCCCCCCCCTTGAGACGATCATGGCTACGCCATTGGTAAGTGTTACAATACATTAGAATATAGCTCGTTTAAAATACATTAAAATATACCCATTCAGTTATAAGCGTTTAAATACATTAGAATATAGCTTGTTCAGCCGATAGTGTTACAATGCATTAAAATATAACGTGTTTAGTTAAAAGCATTAAAATGCATTAATGTTTAGCTCGTAGCCGTAAACGAGTAAAAAAACCTATACATTTATAGTTCATACAATTAAAAGTAATTTAAATACGTTAGAATAAATCTCGCTCAGAAGAGTTAAAATACATTAATGTTTAGCTCGTAGCCGTAAACGAGTAAAAAAACCTATACATTTATAGTTCATACAATTAAAAGTAATTTAAATACGTTAGAATAAATCTCGCTCAGAAGAGTTAAAATACATTAGTGTATATATTTTTAATGTGAAAGAGTTAAAATACATTATTGTATATATCCTAAATGTAAAAGAGTTAAAATACAAAATTATAAAAACGTAAAGTACATACCTTCATAATGTTAAGTGTTGTTCTCGATAGAACAAGTATTTCCTTATAAATATGCCTCTATCGGGTGGGGGAGGGGAGAGGAGGGGTGATTAGTCTAGGGAGTTTATGTCGGGGGTGGGGAATTATGAGCGGACGCCTTTTTAAAAAATATTCCTTTCAAATAGGCTGCACTCATTTGTCATATCTTATTGTGAGACCGGCGCTCATGTAAATGCGGCTGGAGCGATTACTGGTACGTATATTCGCTATCATGCTTTGCTTAGCCGACACACACAAACACACGCACACACACACTCGCAAAAAAACACACATAGATATATACACACACAAGCACAAGCCAATGAAAACACAGAACATACATACAGACACGCACACACACACAAGCACAAGAAAATCAAAACACAGAACAAACAGACAGACACGTACACACACACGAGCACAAGCTAATGAAAACACAGAACATATATACAGACACGTACACACACACACACACACGTTCAACACAGAACACAACCAGGGGTAGGCTGACCGCAGGTCTACCAGGATAAAACTCAACGGTCCCCTAGGAAAAACCCTCACAGGATCCCCCGGGATAAACCTCAGTGGACCCCCAAAAACCTCGGCCCCCAGGAAAAATCTCAGTGGACCCCCCCCCCCAAGAAAAACCTCAGTCGACCCCCCAAAAACCTTGGCCCCCGGGAAAAACGTAGGTGGACCCCCCCCCCCCCCCCCCATGAAAAACCTCGGCCCCCAGTGAAAACCTCAGTGGGCCCCCATATGAATCCTCAGTGATCCCCCCCCTCCCCCCAGGAAAAACATTAGTGGACCCCCCCCCCCCATGAAAAACCTCGGCCCCCAGTGAAAACCTCAGTGGGCCCCCATATGAATCCTCAGTGACCCCCCCCCCCCCCCCCAGGAAAAACCCCTAGTGGGCCCCCAGGAAAAACCTCAACGCTAACAAAACAGTTTGCAGTAAACACATGACAAATGTTATCATTTAACAAGTTATGACCTAACCCTTGTTGACTTGCAAATGTGACAGATTAGCATTAAAACACCGATACATAAAATAATAAAAGAATAAGTTCCCCTTGAAATCGAGCCCTAGTAAACCTAAACGTCAACTTCCTTTTGCTACCAGGTAGTGTCATCACAAGTCAACTTGACATCGGTGTCATCTCAGGTAGCTGTTTAGCTTGGACCCCAATGAGAGCATGTGAGGCTACACAACCGTCGGACAGAGATATCACAGGTGTCAACAACGCAATAGGTAGGCTGTGTGGGGTTGTGTGGGGGACCAGGTTAGGTGTGGTGAGGTGAGGTTGGGTGAGGTAAAGTAAGGTGGGGTTAAGTGAGGTAAGGTGAGGTGAGGTTGGGTGAGGTAAAGTAAGATGGGGTTAAGTGAGGTAAGGTAAGGTGAGGTTGGGTGAGGTAAAGTAAGGTGGGGTTAAGTGAGGTAAGGTAAGGTGGGGTTGGGTGAGGTAAGGTGAGGTAAGGTAAGGTAAGGTAAGGTGGGGTTAAGTGAGGTAAGGTGAGGTAAGGTAAAATGAGGTTAAGTGAGTAAAGTTAAGGTGAGGGTGAGTAAGGTAAGGTGAGGTAAGGTAAGTTGAGGTTAAGTGAGGTAAGGTGAGGTATGGTAAGGTTAGGTAAGGTGGGGTTAAGTGAGGTAAGGTGAGGTAAGGTAAGGTAAGATGAGGTATATTAAGGTGAGGTTACGTGAGGTAAGGTGAGGTTAAGTAAGGTAAGGTAAGGTGAGGTTGGGTGAGATAAGGTGGGATGAGCTTGGGCGAGGTAATGTAAGGTAAGGTAAGGTTAAGTGAGGAACGGTAAGGTGAGGTTGAGTGAGGTAAGGTGAGGTTGGGTTAGGTTGAGTGAGGTCAGGTGAGGTTGGGTGAGGTGAGGTGAGGTGAGGTGAGGTAAGGTAAGGTAAGGTAAGGTAAGGTAAGGTAAGGTAAGGTAAGGTAAGGTAAGGTAAGGTAAGGTAAGGTAAGGTAAGGTAAGGTAAGGTAAGGTAAGGTAAGGTGAGGTAAGGTGAGGTGAGGTGAGGTGAGGTGAGGTGAGGTGAGGTGAGGTTAAATGAGGTACGGTAAGGTATGGTCAGGTTAAGTAAGGTATGGTGAGGTTAGGTATGTGTGGGGTTGGGTGGATGAGTTTGACTGAGGTTGGGTGATGTGAGGTGAGGATAAGTAACGCTGAAAAGTCGAGGTCAGGTCAAAAAAGGGTGAGGTTGAATGAAGAATGAGATGAGGTGACGAATAGTAAAGAGAGGTGTTGTTGTTTGAGGTGAGGTTTGGATAGGTGTGGTGAGAGTAGAGTGAGCTGAATTGAAGTAAGTAGAAGTTAAATTGTCTGATATTGGATTCAGTGTTTTTTTAGTGTGGTGACTTTAAGTAAAGAGAGTTCATTTTTAGTGAGGTCAGGTTTAGTGAGTTGATTTCAAGTTGAGTAAAGTGAGGTAACGATTTAGTGCGATGAGATTATGTTAATTTTTTATTTAAGTCTGCAAATTACAACTTTTAAATAGATTCGTAGTAAAAGCTTATTCTTTTTGCATTTTATTAAAAAAAATTTGTAAAATAAAAAAAAAATGTTTAAATATTTATTGTCGAAAAAAATAAATAATTTTGAAACTAAATTCCATTTATGAAATATCTTATCCTTATAAAAACCTCCAAAATTTTTATTCGAGAATAAATATAACTACGGGGATTACTTTAAAAAAATTATTTATTGTGTTCACTGTGTTTTATAGTTGGGAGCCGGCAGCGGGCAGTCCCAACCACGCCCCTCCTCCCCCTACCTTCTAGACCATCCCTCCCCACCTTCACACACACACACATACACACAGAGAGACACAGAGACACACCGACACTCAGACACACACACACACACCCTCACACACACACCCTCACACACAGACACAAACACACACACACACAAAGACCTACACGACTAACCCCTAGCGTGTAAACCCCCCCCCCCTCCTAGACCATCCCTCCCCACTTTCACACACACACACAGAGACACACAGACACACACATACTGACACAGACACACATACACACACCCTCAGACACACCCTCACACAGATACACACAAGCACACACACACAGAGACACACACACACACCGACACAGACAGACACACACCCTCACACACACCCTCACACACTCTCACACACACACACAAGCACACACTCTCTCTCACACACACACACACAAGCACACACCCTCACACACATACACACAAGCACACACACACACACACAGAGACACACAGACACACACACACACTGACACAGACACACACACACACCCTCAGACACACCCTCACACACATACACAAAAGCACACACACACACACAGAGACACACAGACACACCGACACAGACAGACACACACACACACACACCCTCAGAAACACCCTCACACACACCCTCACACACTCTCACACACACACAAGCACACACTCTCTCACACACACACACAAGCACACTCCCTCACACACATACACACAAGCACACACACACACACACACATACACACAGACACAGACACACACACACACACAGACACACTCACATACCTACACGACTAACCCTTAGCGTGTCCCCCTCCACAGAGATGATGCCCCCTACGAAGAACTTGGGCAAGGAATTCATGATCTTCGACATCTTGGGCCGCATCACTCAGCCCGTAGCGTTCATGGTTACCATGGAGACGGACACGGTCATCGCCGTCTCGGGAAACAGCGGCGGGGTCTCACATCGTAACACAGAGGCCGTGGAAATATTTACTGTTAGTTGTGTGAGGGTGTGTGTGGGTGTGTGAGTGTTTGTATGTGTAAGCCTTTGTGATTGTGTGGGGGGGGGGGGTGTGGGGGTGAATGTGTGTGGGGGGAGTGGGTGTATGTTTGGGTGTGGGTGGGTGTTGGTGTGTGTATGAGCCTGTGTGATTGTGTGTGGGGGTGTGTGTATGTGGGGGGTGTGTGTGGGGGGGGGGTAGGGAGTGAGTGTATGTGTGGGCGTGCGTCTTGGGCACGAACGGGAGAGAAAAGGTTTCCATCGTGCCAAAAAAAAAATCGATGCCAGTTCTCACCTTTACACCTTCCTTGCTCTCTTCTATACGAAGTATAGAGGAAGTATTTAAGTCAAGAGTGTGACGAATCTCGACGCTTTACACCTCCCTGAGTCGGAAAAACTTAGTTTAGCACTTTTGTCCCTCTGTCTTTCCGTCTGTCTGAATCTCTGTCCACAGATATCTTGAGTACCGTTTGTGTTAGTGTGGCAAACTTTCATATACAATGTTTACATCCGATTTGTTGTTTTCTTTCAACTGTTGAGTGATTCCCGGTAACCGGATGTGGTATTTTACTCGATTTTCGGTTCCTCAAAAACCTGCAGAAATTGATCAGAACTTGAGTTTTGTTTCATATATATATATATATATATATATATATATATATATATATATATATATATATATATATATATATATGATCTTTTTTACTTCTTATTGTCAGTAATGAGTGTTATCCGAAAGTAGTACTCTACGCGATTTGCGATCTCTCAAAAAAATTGATAATTCTCGCCAGTCAGTGTTTTCTCAACAACAAAAAAATCGGTTTTGTCACAAATTTCTACAGTTATATTTCCCGATTGCACTGGGATTGCTACCCTAAATCTTATTGTTGAATACAATAAACCACAAAGTTTATGGGAGATCACTCGAATTTAATTTCTTTTCCTTTTCAATTATTTTTTTTATTCAGCACAGCGCTACGTTCCCCTACTACGTCAAGAGCGACAAGCCAATCATGGTTTACGTCCAACAGTTATCGGCCTGTAAAATCGAAGACATGATCTTGAACGATGGTGAGCCAGCGAATCCTTCGCTCTGTGTTATCGTGCCCATGAATTTGTTCTACGACGTTTATCAGTGGAGGTAACTGGAACAGCTTAATTGGTGTACACATGCCGTTCTGTAAACCCCCCGCGGGAAAGTTAAATTTGGACAGTGTTCACTAAACTATGTGGCGTCACTAGGTGGGGTGTTCGCCCCAAGCGGTAAAAGGAGGGTGTCACCAACCATCTCCCACCACGAACAGTGTGTGTTTTTTGTTCGGTTTGGCCCTATCCCCCTAATGCTTTAGTACTTTAACTGGTTATAAAATTTCTGAACGTAAAAGTTACAATTTTTTTCGGTTTGGTGTCACGCCTATGTTCCTAATATTTTAGTATTTTAACTGGATAAAACATTATTTTTACGGTAAATTTTTACGAATATTGGTTTGGCGTCACCCTTCCCTGCCTTTTATTTTTACAGACTATCTGGTTAGCATTCATAGTCTCTACAATTAGACCACTCCGACAACGACAATTGAGAAAAATATATTTTGAAGCACAAAGCTTTACTTACACAGGATTTTTTTGCTGCTATTGTTTACAATACACAAGGATCCGAACTCTAGACTATCGGGTTAGCAGTCGTGAGCTCTACATATTTGACCAAGCCAACAATCACATTTGAGTAAAATACATAAAAAAGCATAAAGCTTTCTTTACACATGTTTTGTACTGCTGTTGTTTACAGTACACCAGAGGGACTGGCAGTCGCTAACTACGCAGCTATCAACATCCGGGTTCAGAGTGTTCCGCACTTGCGCATTGACTACCTCCCTATGCCCGTCAGGTCAGTTTTTTGGCATGGGTTATTGGGGTTGGATGTGGATTTTTTATACCACTGTCCTTCTTCTTCTTCGTTCTTAACTTTTAGTTAGCCTTATTTGTCAGAGGGTTTAAACTCGAGACTTTTTCAAATTTATCAACAATGAGCTTTTGCCGACTCGATCACGACTCCATCACAATTAAGGATACGTGTCACCTTGTTATGCGCCATTGATGCCATTGACTCAGATTTCAGCCTGCTTTTCTTTTTAGATTTGCTTCCATAGCCTTTGTCCAACCAAGAACAAACTACAAGAAAGCAGTTGTTTGATTTTGGTGTTGCCTCTCCTAGAAGAGTGGCTGTCCCCAGCTAACAAGCCTCATCTGCCCGAGGGTTTGAACTCGAGACTTTTCGGTTTAGCAACCATGAGCTTTTCCGACTCGACCACGCCGACCCCTTACCACTGTCAGAAAATAGAACCTTCTAGGTTACGGGAAGTTAACTAAAATACACACATGGCTTGCGATGATCAATACTGACCCTCACCCCAACCCTAGTCCTACCATACACCTAAACCCTAGTTTCTTACCAATAAAACTAGTCGAGATTACAATATTACTAACAACCCAACACACCTATTTTTGGAAGAGTCTATTTTCGGACGACGGTATCTTCTATCACACGGGTTATCTGGTTATGCCTATGAGAATACAACGTGAGATTGTATGCTTTTGCCAACTGAATCGCCTGGAATGTACGTGGGTCACCCCGGCTTCTACGTCTACCCGCATCCCCACCCCACCTCAATACAATTTTAAAACGAAATCCCCATAAGTCAGGTGAAATAGAGTCATTTCTGAATCTAAATTCGGCATAGGACGGAATGCACTATGTCCAGATACGAGCTTGAGTTGTCCCGGTTAGAAATCGTACGTTCTACCTCTCGGCCACGCCGTTGCAAGCTTTGACAAAGAAAAAATAAATAAACAGCGTAGAGTAAAAACCGGTGAATGTGTAGTCTAATGGTACAGTTCAAATACAAAAAAGGAAGATAAGCAGTTCCAGACTCGGAATACTAGGTCGAAACTCAATCATATATAGCTTATCATCTTTTCTCATTGGTGGCCAAGATGAAGATGAAGAAGTAGAATTATCAGTTTCAGAAACCTATAAAAGTATAGTGTGGTCAGCACTATGCCCAGCCGTCTTCGTTTTAGCAAAAACAAAAAGAATTAGTTGCCTATGATAATCATAGCTGGGTGGACTCACAACCTTTCTACTGACTTGAACCCAGATTTCAACCCGAGACGTCTGGGTTAAGTACCTTATAAATTGCTTATACTAAATATTATATATATATATATATATATATATATATATATATATATATATATATATATATATATATATATATATATATATATGTATATATATATATATATATATATATATATATATATATATATATATACATATCAAAATATACACATACGTTCACAAAATAACTCACGCCCTAGCCGTGATCACACTCAAGGCAGCAATTCTCAGCACGCTCAAAGTAACACGTCTTTGTTCCAGCATCATGTGGAACCCTGTGGTTGGCATCGACGACTACCGTGTGGGCAACCACGAGGTCAGGCCCGGGTACCACCAGCTCTACGCCGTCGAGACGGCCATGTTCGCCGTCTACATCTACGGCATCGGCGACGACTTCAGCTTCATGTACCCGCTGCCGTACCTGACCACGCCCGTCAACACGGTGAGTGGGTGGGGAGGGGGTGGGAGACGAATTCAGTTTCATGTACCCGCTGCCGTACCTGACCACGCCCGTCAACACGGTGAGTGGGTGGGGAGGGGGTGGGAGACGAATTCAGTTTCATGTACCCGCTGCCGTACCTAACCACGCCCATTAACACGGTGAGTGGGAGGGGGTAGGGGTTTGGTATTAGGGAGGGTGTCTTGTGCGTGTACGCATGTGTATATCGTGTTTTTTTTTGCGCGTGGTTGTGTGTGTATGCAGTGGCGTAGCGAGATCGGGTGTCACCCGGTGCGGCACTTAATGGTGTCACCCCCCAGAGGCGTAGCGACCCTTACCGGGGACACATTTTCGATTTGCACCCCCCCCTCAAGTTTTCGATTTGCACCCCCACCCCTCAAACTTTCGATTTGCACCCCCCCCCCCCTCGAGTTTTTCTCTATATATTTTGCTATTTTTTGCCTTGGTGTCACCCCCCTAAATGGTGTCAGCCGGTGCGGTCCGCACCCCCCGCCCCCCCCCCCTCGCTACGCCCCTGTGTGTATGAGTATTTGAATGGTTAGTTTAAAGTGTGTATATTAGGTTCCCTGCAAGTTGACCTTGACCTATTTTAATGTAAAATAGGTCACCTATTTTACTTTACACACTCGTTACCTATTTTACTTTACACACTCGTGACCTATTTTACCTTACACACTCGTGACCTATTTTACTTTACACACTCGTGACCTATTTTACCTTACACACTAGTGACCTATTCTACTCCCCCAGGAGTGCGAACGTAGCATACCGACCATGTCAGAGGGCGACACACTGGACAACGACTGTGATGGACGAATCGAGGAAGAAAAGAGGGACGACATAGGTGAGTCCTTATTTTTTTTTTTAACTTTCTTGTATACATCGTAGAGATACAAATAGGGACGACATAGGTGAGTCCTTATTTTTTTTTTTAACTTTCTTGTATACATCGTAGAGATACAAATAGGGACGACATAGGTGAGTCCTTATTTTTTTTTTTAACTTTCTTGTATACATCGTAGAGATACAAATAGGGACGACATAGGTGAGTCCTTATTTTTTTTTTTAACTTTCTTGTATACATCGTAGAGATACAAATAGGGACGACATAGGTGAGTCCTTATTTTTTTTTTTAGCTTTCTTGTATACATCGTAGAGAGAGAAGAGGGAGGACATAGGTGAGTCCTTATTTTTTTTTTTAGCTTTCTTGTATACATCGTAGAGATACAAATAGGGACGACATAGGTGAGTCCTTATTTTTTTTTTTAACTTTCTTGTATACATCGTAGAGATACAAATAGGGACGACATAGGTGAGTCCTTATTTTTTTTTTAACTTTCTTGTATACATCGTAGAGATACAAATAGGGACAACATTGGTGAGTCCTTATTTTTTTTTTTAGCTTTCTTGTATACATCGTAGAGATACAAATAGGGACGACATTGGTGAGTCCTTATTTTTTTTTTTAGCTTTCTTGTATACATCGTAGAGATACAAATAGGGACGACATAGGTGAGTCCTTATTTTTTTTTTTAGCTTTCTTGTATACATCGTAGAGATACAAATAGGGACGACATAGGTGAGTCCTTATTTTTTTAGCGCAATTTCCTTACAGGAATTGCGATTATTAATTCGTTATTTCTGGATGGATGTGTGTCCCAAATGGATGGATGTGTTTCCGCTGTATACAATTTGATAGGCAAGTCAGACTTAAGTCACATGTATACAAACTTGAGACAAGTCAGACTTAAGTCACATGTATACAAGACTGAAAGTCAAATCAAACAGGCCAAATGTACACAAAGCAGAAAATCAAGTCTGACTTAAGTGAGATGTACGCAATGGTTTTTAGCGCAATTTCCATACGGACAATTGCGATTATTAACTCGTCATTTCTAGATGGATGTGTGTCCCCAGCTTTAAGTCGTATCTCCTCCTCAACGAAGCAATATCGAGAACTAGTTCCAAAAACAAATATGTTAAGCAAGTTTCGAGGAAGATTGTGGGCCAAAAAAATTCCCGGAATTCATTCCTGGATTTCCCGGAAAAGCCCAAAAACCTCGAAAAAATGCAGTTTTTGGCCCATATCTCGGCAACCAGACCACTTAGCGACTTGAAACATTTACCAATCGATTTCTGCCATAATTTAGAACAATATTGCCGAAGAAAGTTTTCAAAAATATCCTTTCGTTCGGTCACAAAAAATTAATCATAGTCAAATACTGATATAAACGTTTTAATATTTGGGCACCGAAAAATTGCGCTTAAATTGTCACTAGACTTTTTATTACCTAGTTTTTTTAACTTTCTTATATACATCGTAGAGAGAGAAAGTATTGTAATCGTGCACGGAGTTTAAATGAGATTTTAACAAATTTCGACCCTTTACACCTACCCCACTTTATTGCGTACGGAACATAAAGGAGGCGTTAAATGCTTCAAAAATCGATATGAAGATTTTGACAAATTTTGACGTTTTCTATTAGGAGACTTTAGGATTAGCAGTCATATGTAACAGAGGCGTAGCGATGGAGGGGCAGGGGGCGAACATATGTCCCCGAGCGCCGATCTTAGGGGGCGCCAAAGTGGGTTGGAAAAAGTAATCGAAAGTTTGAGGTGGTGGGTGATGCAAATCGAGTTTGAGGGGGAGGGGTGCAAATCAAAAGTCTGAAGGTGGGGGGTGCAAATTGAAAGTTTGTCCCCGGGCGCCGGGAAGTGTCGCTACGCCTCTGATATGTACGCTCTGTCTTCCTAACCTGCGTCCAAATAGTCTGCAATCTTCTCGTTTATAAGCGTCATCATATTAAACTTAGCCCACTAGCCTGGTTCTCTCTCTATACCAATGACTAAATTCATCAATTGACTGACTAATCCCACTAGCCTTGTTCTCTCTCTACCAGATAACGACGGAGACGGTATTGTCGATGAGGATCTGATCAAACCAAACAGACGTAAGCCTTAAATTGTGTTTAGGTATCATTTTTTATTCAAAGTTCGGAGTTTGGACATGTGCCTGTAGGACGTATCTAAGTCCATCCTGGTCTTATTTATACCTGAAGTACGTTGGGGAGGGAGTAAAGACTGCTGGCGGGGCCTGATGCTGACCACATTGTTTCTTCATATATATATATATATATATATATATATATATATATATATATATATATATATATATATATATATATATATATATATATATATATATATATATATATATATATATATATGACATATGTATATATATACGTATATATATGTATACATATATATATATATATATGTATATATATATATATATATATATATAGATATATATATATACATATATATATATATATATATATATATATATATATATATATATATATATATATATATATATATATATATATAGATAGATATAGATATATATATATAGATATATATATATATATATATATATATATATATATATATATATATATATATATATATATATATATATATACATATATATATATATATATATATATATATATATATATATATATATATATATATATATATATATATATATATATATATACAATTTTGCATAACGTAAAGAGAATATTAAATACACGCACATTTCTAAACATATTAAAAGGGTCAATGTCAAATATCGTTTTCGTTAATATTCCTAGAAAAAGTGGATACATTTAATAACATAATAACATAATAATAAGGTTAGAAAAATCTAATTAAACTGTTTAGTAATTTTGCCTTGGGAGGTAATTTAAAAATAAATTGAACTCACTCTAAATGCAAAATCTGCAAGACGGAATAATTGTTGGAATAATATAATTAGCAAAATGTGAATGCAAATTATGCAGACGTGTAAGAGTACATTATTGTTGGAATATTATAATTAGCATTGATTGATAAAAGTGGGTTGAAAAAAATGTGCGGGGGGGGGGGGGGGATCGAAAGTTTGATGGGGTGGGAGGGTGCAAATCGAAAGTTTAGGGGGGGGTGCAAATCAAAAGTTTGATGGGGGGTCAAATCGAAAGTCTGTCCCCGGGCGCCGGAAAGGGTCGCTACGCCTCTGTTTTGTAGTCATTCACTGTGTCAGAAGCGTCCGCCGGCGCTCGGAAAGGGCGCGATTTGGCGCTACGGGCTAGACTGTGAGCAATGGGCCTTTGTGATTGCATTTAAATTGTGTTTATGTTATGAGTGTTGTGTTTGTTTTTTCGTTTGTGTTTTTTTTTTTGCGTTCGTTTGTGTTGTGTTTAGTTTTGTTCTGTTCCCAAGTTGGTACATTTAAAAAAGATTTACCGTGGCGGACCACGGGATGCAGCTAGTATATATATATATATATATATATATATATATATATATATATATATATATATATATATATATATATATATATATATATATATATAAAGAGAGAGAGAGAGAGAGAGAGAGAGAGAGAGAGAGAGACCTTTTTCCCTCATTTATTGCCAAATTCATATTTAAATTAAGTTAAACCATCAACATAAACAGCGTTTAAACTATACAGTTTTTTGCCTTGTGAACAGAGAACGGTGCCTGGACCGAGTGGGTGTACACTGACTGTACAAAAAACTGCTCGGAGCTCAAGCGCTATGGGACCAGGTTAGATAACTCTATCTGATAAATTGTGATATGCTGTTGTTTTTTTTGGCCGCTTAATATTCTGTAATGGTGTAATTGTAATTTAAATGCTCTTTTGTAGGAGTTTACTCTCTATTTCCAGAACAATACAACTTCCGTTCATAGTATAAGGGTTGGGATTATGTTCACATTTTGTTAAAGTTAAGTTTGTACTAATGTATAGTTGGTTTTTATTTTAGAGCTGCGGTTCTTCTTCGGTCTGAATTGATGTACACATCAATACTAACACGTGACCACATGTACACAACTGTACAAACACGTGACCACATGTACACCTGTACTATTACATTACAACATGTACACTCCTGGACTTGCGCGTGACCACATGTACACCTGTACTATTACATTACAACATGTACACTCCTGGACTTGCACGTGACCACATGTACACCTGTACTATTACATTACAACATGTACACTCCTGAACTTGCACGTGACCACATGTACACCTGTACTATTACATTACAACATGTACACTCCTGGACTTGCACGTGACCACATGTACACCTGTACTATTACATTACAACATGTACACTCCTGGACTTGCACGTGACCACATGTACACCTGTACTATTACATTACAACATGTACACTCCTGGACTTGCACGTGACCACACGTACACACCTGTACTAACACGTTACCACATTTACACACTTGTAGTATTACATAACAACATGTACACACCTGTACCTACACCTGACCACATGTACACACCTGTACTATTACATGACCACATGTACACACCTGTACTCACCTATAAATGTTTGTACACAGAACATGTACCAACCCTGTGCCCCAGAACTTTGGCGACGACTGTGAGGGGGTGTCCGCGGAGGTGCAGACTGAGGGGTGTCACGTGAAGCACAGGTGTCCGGGAGGTAGGTGGAGCAGAATCGGGCTGGTTGGGGGTGTCAGGGTGTTAGATTGACAGACAGACAGACGGCCGGACGGACGTGCGGATGAAGAGACAGACAAAGGACAGTCGGACGCGTCAACTGACAGACGGACGGACGGATGGAGAGACAGACTAGTAGACATTCGGGCGGATTGACTGACTGGCATGCTGACAGACAGACAGACAGACGCGCAGACAGACGGATAGTCGGACGGATCGACAGACAGATACAGACACTTAGACAGACATAGCCAGAAAATCAGACCAAATTGACTAATTAAATGATGACTGACAAACCGACCAGAATGTACGAATATTTTAAGATTAATACATTTAAACAAAGATGTACAGAGAAAATGAAATACATTTGATATATATATATATATATATATATATATATATATATATATATATATATATATATATATATATATATATATATATATATATATATATATATATATATATATATATATATATATATATATATATATATATATACACCTATGCTACGACTCACCTGACATACCTCCCTACTCTACCTCTCACTGGTTTTGCCCTACTCTCGCCTGACCTGCCCGAATCTGACCTTTGTGCTCACAGTGTGCCCTGAAGGCCAATGGAACGTGGACTGCACGAGCAAGTGTGAGCGCTGCTACCCAGACTGTGACAAGTGGGACGGCACGTGCATGGCATGTGACATTGGCTACGTTTTACGTAACGGCAAGTGTGACCAGGGTGAGGCAACATTTCGTTTATAAATCGGCAATGGAAGTCGATATTAGAGGCTGGTGTGTCATACTAGTATTGGGGTAGGGCTACAGTAGGTGGGGGTTAACAAGTAGGTGGGGCTTATAAGTGGTTGGGGTTATATAGTGGGGTGGGGCTACCAAATAGGTGGAGCTTCCAAGTGGGTGTGGGTTGACAAGTAGGTGGGGCTACCAAGTAGGTGAGGGTTATATAGTGGGGTGGGGCTACCAAGTGGGTGGGGGTTATATAGTGGGGTGGAGCTTCCAAGTGGGTGGGTGTTAACAAGTAGGTGGGGCTACCAAGTGGGTGGGGGTTAACAAATCTGGTGGGGCTACCAGGCGGGCGGGCTACCATTTGGGTGGTGCTACCAAGTAGGTGGGGCTACCAAGCAGGTGGGGCTACCAAGTAGGTGGGGCTACCAAGTAGGTGAGGGTTAACAAGTAGGTGGGGGTTAACAAATTTTGAGGGACTACCAAGCGGGCGGGCTACCAAGTTGCTGGGGTTATAAAATGGGGTGGGGCTACCAAGTAGGTGGGGCTACCAAGTGAGGTGGGGGTTAACACATTTTGAGGGACTGCCAAGCGGGCGGGCTATCAAGTGGGTTGGACTACAAAGTAGGTGGAGCTAAAATAAGTGGGTGGGGCTGTCTACTGGGTTGCAACACATTATGACAAAAGACACCTGAGTCCGAAGATATATATCAAAATATTTTACTCAAAAAGTGAATGCAAATACCGGTTATGAATATTTTTTCTTTTAAGAATGAAGTACAATTTTAACAATTTAGTCACAGATGTGAGTTGTTTTCTTTCACCTTAGCTTGCGGACCCTTGACCTACGGGTTCAAGTGTGGGGGGAACTGT